ATCAACCAAAAAAGTAACTGTGTCCTCTATTTGGTTCCTTCTCAAACATGAGTAAGCGGCATTTAAAACAATTATTAGCATATGATACACACTGTTTCTCAATATTTAATTACAGCTTCAGCATAATATTTTCATCTCCTTCAAGCAGGGTACACAAAAAGCACGTTCAACTCGGACCAGAGGTGCCAAATGATCAGTGAGAGCAGAACGAATGCGTCACACGTTTTAAATACTATCAAGAGCATGCTCACAGATGAGACAAAAACAGCGTTGGATGACGTGGATTAGAGCCCTGCACGGGCCTCAAATATAGCGGCAGAAAGTGAATTGATCATAGCCTATGTTTGATCAATTTAGCCTTCTCAAATCATCACGACTTGCCTAAAATAAAATCTATATATAAAACAGTTCAAGCATATCACAATGTTAGTTTAAAGGTTTAACCTAGATAAATGTGTGCTGTTATAGACGCATATCCAATCGTTTGTGCGGAGAGTTGAAACTAAAGTGTGCTTTGCAGGACACGGAGGCGCCAGCGCCATCACTTGCATTTTTTTCTAACAGTGGAAACAACTTAAAATACGCAGTCATTTTTGCTCATAAAGGTAAGAGTAATACATCATTCTAAACTGTAAAGGGTCTAGTTTTATTTGTGTGCACTCACAATATTAACAAAACTTTGTGCTTTTATAAAATAAAGAAAACAAACGCTTTCTGCCGTCTCGGTCTTGAACAGGAGCGCTTCACAATGATGAACCTAAACTTAGCGAATTGCCTCACAGACATGACAAAAATATAGCCTATAGAAAGCTTTAAATCCCTACTTTAAAATGAAATAATTTATTTGTATTCATTATGTAATCCATGCATTTCTCTCTAAAGGCACATCCAGTGAGGAGATGGCGAGTCATTTTTTCATAACCATAATTGATGGATGTTTAAAATATAAAAATAAGGAAAAGCCTAAAACAGGCCCGATTATAATTTGCGTTTTATTTTAAAAGCACTGGAAAGAGCCGCTGGGGAGACACTGACAGTTTGATCTTCTAGAGACGAGAGGAAAATATATCTGTGCCACGACATTAAGAGCCTGTTACCTGTGTGTGTGTGTGTGTGTGTGTGTGTGTGTGTGTGTGTGTGTGTGTGTGTGTGTGTGTGTGTGTGTGTG